AAGTAATTTGACAAAAAGACTTGGACAAGCCCCTCCCCAGTTCACATTAAGATAAAGGGAGGTGGGGGAACCTTATTTAGACTTGCAAGATTCTCTTATAATAGCTGTTAAGGTAAACCAGTGATGGAATTCAAATCTTTTTAATACCAGTTCTGTGGGCGTGGCTTGGTGGGCGTGGCTTGGTGGGTGTGGCAGAGGAAGGATATGGCAAAATCTCCACTCCCACCCCACTCCAGGGGAAGGATACTGCAAAATCTCTATTCCTGCCCCACTCCAGGGGAAAATACTGCAAAATCTCCACTCCCTCCCCACTCTGGGGCCAGCCAGAGGTGGTATTTGCTGGTTCTCCGAACTATTCAAAATTTTCACTACCGGTTCTCCGAATTGCTCAAAATTTTCGCTACCACTTCTCCGAACTACTCAAAATTTCTGCTACTGGTTTTCCAGAACCTATCAGAACCTGCTGAATTTCACCCCTGAGGTAAATGTAGTATTGATCTACATGGTATTGGTTTCTTAGTCTGGTAGATGTTGTAGAGCTGAGATCCCTTCAAGAGTTTTTCTGCAACACCCCATCTTCCATTTTTCTCTTATTTCTTGATGGATTCCTACTTGAGTTACTTATCCAGTTTCATTGGCATTTTTGCTTGAGCCTTTTTCTTCTGAGTTTCTTCATGCCAAAGAGTTTCTAGTATCTGGCACTTAGATTATGGGATGACTTCCCTCTGATTACTCTTTGGACAACATATTATTTATGTGATTTATATAGCCACCTATCTCACACAAATGACTCTGGGCATCTCAGAAGATTAAAACAAAATAGCCACCAAGCATAAGTCCCTGCTGTCCAAGGATAAACTGTTAATCCAACTCACCATCAATAGAAACAAAGCTCACTGACTCCCTGACCCAAGTGCCTGGAGAAACAGCCCAGTCTTCAGTGCCTTATAACAGGATTGGTGTTATCTGATTTTTTTTGGGGGGGGAAGTGTTTAACATATGTTAGAATTGTTTTAAAACATACATATTTCAGCTGAGAGTGCAGAAGATGTACTCAATGCATTTTGAGCCATATTGTAAAACTGATCATTAATTATCAGACAACATGTAAATTTTAGAAGTTAAATTGAATTGTTTTGCTGACAATTTTGGGCAATATGCTGCTGCATCTGTCCTAAATGGTTTTGCTATTTGAATTGCTATAAATTAGTTTTTTACTATGTTGTCCTGCTTTTGTAATGTTATTACAGTACGTAATAACATAAAGATTTATAAATACCTGTTGTCTTTACTATTCCAATATCATAGCTGCATTTTGAACTATTGCTCATTATGCATCTTATTAAATAGTACATTATAAAGATGGTGATGATGATGATGAAGATGATAACGATGAAATCCCACTTCAGAATGCAAGTGGGGTTTCATATAAAACCAATGCTTCACCAACCAACCAACCAACCAATCAATCAATCAACCAACCAATCAATCTCTTTACATATGAAAACTTTTATCAGAGGAAAATCTGACAAGCTTATTTTCTAGTTGTGTGAATGACACATATGTATTAGAGGGACCATGACACCACATATACTCTACCTTCAGTCTGAAATGATAAATCCAAGCAAAAGACTTACCATCTCCCCTTCTGTTTGAGAAGTAGGCCATGACACTCTTGATAAAATTATTTGTAGAGACATACTGAAAGGTACAAGTAGCTGGTTCATCTTTATTTCTAGTCATGCTAATTATTTTTTAATGAAGACTCTATTGATTAAATAGAAAGAAGAGGAATTTAGCAGAAGAGTTTAAGGATAGGTTTCTATCAAATTGTCTCTCTAAATGAAGATCGACTAAGAAAGGATGACAGAGGAATTTTTTTTAAAAAAAACTGTGTAGTAATGCTTTTAAGAATGAAGAATGAAGACAAGTACTTCAGTCTGGCAAGTTTATATTTCTCCTTGAAAACAATTGAAATGTATTTGAAATACATTTCTTGCAAGAGTACCTGAAGAAAAGAATGAGGGTTGGAACAGGAGGTTGTTGTTGTTGTTAGTTGCGAAGTCGTGTCCGATCCATCATGACCCCATGGATAACGTTCTTCCAGGCCTTCCTGTCCTCTACCATCCTCTGGAGTCCATTTAAGCTCATGCCTACTGCTTCAGTGACTCCATCCAGCCACTGCATTCTCTGTCATCCTCTTCTTCTTTTGCCCTCAATCTTTCCCAGCATTAGGCTCTTCTCCAGTGAGTCCTTCCTTCTCATTAGGTGGCCAAAGTATTTAAGGAGCCACACTTAAATACATAAGGAAAGATGAATGCATATCAGAGCAAGCAAAGGAGGAATTACAGCAGAAGCTGACAGAACAAAGGACCAAACCTAGTGAATAAAAGAAACAATTAAAAACAAGTGACTGTAAAATTCAGGAGGTGTGGGGAGACCTTGGAAGAAGTTACAAACCTTTGCAGAGGAGTTGAATGGTCCTGTGGAACAGGAAACAGATACTAGATATCTGAAGGCTAGAGGGAATGTAGCTGAGATTTGCAAGAAGAGAATAACAACTGAAATGGTAATTGATGATTCACAGCTATAGGAACAAATATATTGACTTTAGATGTGGTATCAACAGAGATATTTGGTTTCTGGAATGGTGGTCTGAATTATCAGGATGATGGATTTCTGACACGAGATGGGGTTCAGTTAGGACAGCTTAAACAGTGTTGAGCTGCTGCATAAAGGGCTGACTAAGAGGACTTTGAACCACATCCTTTAAAGCAGCAGTCACCAACTGGTGGTCTGTGGACCACTGGTGGTCCGCAAAAAAATTTTAGTGCTCCGTAGAAAAATTATTTACATTTTTTATATTGCACTAAATCAGGGGTCCTCAAACTATGGTCCCTGTGCCGGATACGTGCAATGAACGTTTGTGTTGCTGCAGAGAGTCTCCCCCTTCTGGGTCTTTTTGTGTGGGTTGGAGGGGAGCAGAAATTCCAACTTGGGGTTTGCTTCAACCTCCTGGTGTGGGGCTTTGGGCGAAGGCTGGAGGAAAGTGCCACTGGTGGCAAAGAGCCAGAGGGCCTTGTTCCAGTGGGACAGCATCATAGCCTGGAACTGGCTGACCATCTCAGGCTGCTTGAGCCTCCAGGCGCTGGTACCTGGCCTTGCACTCCTGCAGGTCTTCCCTCTGCTTGGAAAGCCTATGCTCATAGTCCTCAGTGAGGTGCTTCTGCTGAGCCTCCTTCTTGGTCAGATCCAATTTGAGCTGAGCCAGCTGTTTTGCCAACTCTTTCTCATGGTGGCTGCTTATCTCCAGCAACTGCTTCCTGCTGGGGCCCTAAGGAGCCCAGGTGGGCAGGCGAGGAGTAGTGAGTAAAGGCTGGCAAGGCACCCCTTGACGTGAGTGACATTGAGTTGGCCATGCCCACCCAGTCACATGACCACCTTTCCATGCCCACCCAGACAGTCATTAGGCAGATTGTATTAGTGGTCCGCGGGATTTAAAATTAGGAATTTAGTGGTCCCTAAGGTCCAAAAGGTTGGTGACCCCTGCTTTAAAGCAAGGACAGAGTTTGCTGATGATATAAGAAAATTTTCATATATTAACTTTGAGAAATCCTGGAGAATTGGTGAAGTGACAGATGAAGTTTAACTCATCATTTCTTCTCCATAGTTAGTAAGTCCAGGAAAAAGTACAGCTCCTTTAATATTGACAATTCTACCACAATTCCACAGGCAGAATCCTGAAGAAAAACTAGTTTCAGTTTGACAACAGTTCACAACAGCTTCAGTTCAGACTGTTCTCATTCCCTAAATCAGCATTTTGCTCTTATGTTCAAGAAGTGTGATTCCATAACTTTTTTTTTCTGTTAAGAAATAAGCAATGGTATCAAATTCCAAAATGTGATAATTGTGTCAATTTTTTCTGTCCTGATTCTTCCAGGGTTCAATTCCAGGGGGTAACCTTTAGATTTAGCATTTGAGGAATGGGAATATAGCTTCTCCTTGCCACTTTATCCACATCACCCATAATTTTGTACATGTCAATCACACCCCTCTCATTCATCTCTTTCCTAAACTAAAAAGTCCCAAACGTCACAGCCTTTCCTTGATCTTCTTAATTTCCCTCCTTAGAAGCTTCTCTAGTTCCACTACATCCTTTTTAAGGTGCAGCAACCAGAACTGCACACAATATTCCAGATGCCAGTTTGGCTTAGTGACTAAGGAACTAGTCTAGAAACCAGGAGACAATGAGTTATAGTTCTGCCTTAACCATGAAAGCCAGCTGGATGATTTGGGGCCAGGTCAATTCACCTTGCAGAGTTGTTGTGGGGAAAATAGGAGGAGGAAGTATTAGGTATATTTGGTGCCTTGAATTATTAATAAAAATAATAAAGGTGGGATAAAAATAAGTACATTAAAATTGAATTAAAAGTGGTTGCACCATCGATTTATATTAATCATTATAATGTTGGCATCTCTATTTCTAGTACTGTTTTTTATTATCCCTAACATGCTGCTGGCCTTTTTTACAGTGGATGTACACTGTTTGAACACTTCCATTGCCTGTTTATCATTATTCCAAAATGTCTTTCCTCATTAATCACTGTGAGTTCTGACTCCCTTAGGTTGTGTGAGTAGTTAGAAATTTTGACACTAATATGCATCATTTTACACTTGTCATGTTGAATTACACCTGTCATTTTGATGCCCCTAATGAGCAGAGATCCCATTGTTGCTAATTTTTATATGCATATTGGCCTCGCTTGTCATGCCTAAAAAAATGCTATCTGTATACAGATGTCAATCCAACAACTTTGTTATTTTGGTTTTACATCATGATGTAATTTTACATTAAGATAGCAACAGTAGCCTTGACAGTTTTTAAAGCAAGCTTGTTGCTTGTTCCTTTAAGGGGTCATTCAGGGATTTGGAAATACTTTTTTGTGACTTGGCCAGCATGGCCCATCCCCTTTCTTGCTGACGTCTGATTCTATCGCACATCAGACTTTTCCCAGTGGAGCTGGAGAATGAGTTCAATGAAAGCTGTCTGCTTGCAGTCTTAAAGGGCTGCAGGCATTTGAATTACTATTTCTGCTGCTTCTGCTTGGCTCCCTTGGAGCGTTAAGCCAGAAACACTATCAGGAGGGATGGTGAGTGCATGGGATCATCTCACAGAACAGGAGTGATCCATTAGTTTCTTCTCTATCAACAGCTTGAGAGGATCTACTGCACGCTTTGAAAGAAGCTATGATCAGGCTCAGTTCTGCAAAGCAAGGAATGAGGATCATCCTGGCTGAATAAAAGTTGTGGCTTCCTAGTCTGAGATAATGGTTTTGTCTGTCCCAGTGATTGCTCTGGGAGCTACATTGGGGACTGCTACTAGCCTCCTTGCCTTATGTGGTCTTACCTGCTTCTGCAAATATAAGCGACCTGGGAAAGGATCCTCGGACAAGGAACAGGATCTGGAGACGGAAAATGCCAAACCTAGCGTGCTTCAGGCACTCTATCAGGTAAAGCAGTGTATTGATTTTGTTCTCCTCTTCTTTCAGAGATGCTGTCGCTTAACAAGTGTAGATTTTGAGCAAGGTCACCTAGTGTATGGGATAATTTAAGATTTACAGCAATTGTCTGTGTTTGCAGAATTTCAGGGTGTAGCGTGACTTCTATACAAAGGAGGGGGGAAGGGGGCTCAGGTGGCATATGGGATTACGAAAGCAACAGCCAGACAGCTTTTGTTTTATGAAAGAGAAAAATGGCATAACAAATATACAGTGACTTCACAGTCAGTCTGATAGCTGGACAGGGTATAATTGATGGAATACTGAAGCTTAGATGCCAGATAGTAATAATGTCTGAACATTGTATAATTCTCATTGTTTTATCTGTAAACACCTATGTCTATATGCTTTTGCAACACAGGAAAGTCTTGTGTGTAACTAGTGTGCTAAATTCTGGGCAAGTATCAGGCATAATAATATATGTTGGTTAAAATTTAAGACAGACAATAACATCTAGTTTGCAATAAACAGATACTAATGAAAGATATTAAGACAGCTATGAAGAATATAATGTTATGGCATAATATACATTTAAATGTCCGTAACACAGGTTAGATGTAGTATGTTAATCTTCTTGAATCATTTCAGGATTTGAATAATACAGCGTATGGAAAATTATCATACATAGCGTTCACAAGGGAGGAAGAGGGAAAACGACAAAATGTGTGTCATGATACAATCCCGCAGTTTACATAAGTAAAAGTGGAGTTTGAACTATGACATCACCATGTAGCATCATCATTTTGATGTGATACTGGCTTGCTGCAAATATCTACGTTAGCATATGAATAATAGGTGAAAATAACAAAGAGCACTTAGACAAAGATTTCAGTTGTATGGGATGAGGGTTCAAATTCCCTACTAGCCATTCATGGACATGGTCAAATAGTTTTCTGGGCCCATATATTCTGATAAAGCAAAATGTGTGTTATTTGCTTTTGCTTTAACATGATGTGCAAATCCGCCCATTATAGCTAGTTCAATAAACCATGGTTAAAAATATTTTTGGTAAGAATTATGTATGAATGCATCCATTCATTCCTGAGTTTAGCTATTTATTTGGAAAATGGTAAATCACTCTGTTCATTGGTTTTCTTTCAAGAGATAAATAGAATGTATCCAAAATGTGAAGTTCAAAAATATTCTTTGTTATATTAAAAGACATGAATAAATACAAAAGGATGGATTCTGGGATTGTGCTGTGTGTGTCTGCTTTACTGCATGTGCAAAAAGTGTATGAAGGCTTTTATTTTGTGGGTCCCAGAGTTTCTCAGATTGATGGACTCCTGAATTTGAACCATTTTTTTTCACATTGGGGAGAAGTTGAGAAAAGATTTTAATCCTTTTAGATGCTTAAGATACCCATTTCACTCCATAAAACTCTGGATGGCCTCGTGCTACACTTTTGCGCTTTTTCGATCAATGGAAGATGTTGATCCTTGCTATCATGAATCAACAATTTAACTAATAAAATCCTATCTTGTTGCAGCAGAGAACAAAAGTAATTTGATAATTGATCACTATATTCAACTCAATTATTTGAATTTAACATATTGCTTAAAATGTAACAATTTGTTCCTGTTTTTTCCCTTGAAAAAAAATGCACACACATAAATATGTTGGGATTTGCATGATGCAGCTGCTTTAATGATTTGCAGTCAGATGCTGCATTCACACTCCTGTTCCTTACCAATTCTTCCAAACTGAATCCAAATCAATGAGCAACCTGCATGTGTATGTGTGTGGAGCTTTAACACACACACCCCTCCCCCCCACACACATAGAGCATACATATTAGAACCCCATCCCATTCATGTCGGAAGCACCAAGATACTTCTGGGTTGAAAGTATTAGCCAGTCATATCACCATTGCCCGGAAACACCTGATTGGAGGCTCCTTTCATATCCCCATTAATGTGCCCACTGAAGTGGTACCTATTTATCTACTTGCGTTTGCACACTTTCAAACTGCTAAGTGGGCAGGAGCTGGAGCGAATGCCAGGAGCTCATCCCATCACACAGCAGCACTTGGGTTTCAAACAAGGGCTTGATGATTGTCAGCCCAGTATTCTAACCATGTGAGCCACCATGCTCCTTCACATTAGAACTATATCTATAGATAATAGAAATAACAGATAGACAAATACATACATCCATTTTCTTGAAATAGATGTTTGAGCTTAATGCGACAAATATTCTGCTTCTTCTGCTGTTTAAAAATGTATGTAAGTCATATATTAAAAACCATGAAATGACAAAAGGGACTAAGACTCACAATAGATAGTACTGGATTGATGGGTTGGAATGACAGTGAGGCAGGAGATGGGGGTGGTTTGCATGAAGGAATAATTTGTTTATTACTATAAAAAGTACTAATCATTTGGGGTGCAGCCCTAATTAGTAGATCTGACTCATGTTGCCTAGCAACTAGGGGGTCCAAATAAACATGTACTATACTTCTTGCATGTTTTTAAAAAGACCTATTGCATTCTAGACATAATACAGCTTTGATCTCTTCTACTGTAAAATGAGAGACCTCTGCTTGGAAAAGTTGAGCCTGGGGTGTGTAGGTTTTTGGTTTTTTTTTAAATTTGATTTATATGCCACCCTTCTCCGGAGACTCAGGGCAGCTTACTTCATGCTGTATATTTATACAAAGTCAGCTTATTGCCCCCACAATCTTGGTCATCATTTTACCTACCTTAGAAAGAATGGAAGGCTGAGTCAACCTTGAGCCTGGTGAGATTTGAACTTACAGTAATTGCAGACAGCTTGATGTTAATAACAGTGCTTTAGTCTGCTGCGCCACCAGGCTCCTGGTTATCTATTTATGTACAGCTTAGTTCAGGGGTGGATTCTACTTACCTTTATTATTTTTATTTTTATTGATTATTGAATTTCTATACCGCCCTACTCCCGAAGGACTCAGGGCGGTGTACAGCCATAAAATAAAACACATAGATATACAAAATTTAAAATCGAATAAAATGAATTAAATAAATTTGGCAGAATTAATACCCATAATTTAAAATACCCATATTTTAAAATCCATTAAAAATTTAGAATTTACACTTAAAAGGGAGAAGATTTAGGTGAGGCCAGCTTGATGAAATAAAAGCGTCTTCAACTCGCGGTGGAAGGTGTGCAGATCCGGAATCCTCCGTATCTCTGGGGAGAGCTCATTCCAGATCATCGGTGCCCCCACAGAGAAGGCTCTCCCCCTAGGGGCCGACAGCCGACATTGTTTGGCTGACGGCACCTGGAGGAGCCCCTCTCTGTGGGAGCGTACTGGTCGGTGGGAGGCTGTTGATGGTAGTAGGCGTAAGTAACCAGGTCCCAAGCCATGGAGCGCTTTAAAGGTGGTAACCAGAACCTTGAAGTGCAACCGGAAGACCACCGGGAGCCAGTGCAGCTCGCGCAGGAGAGGTGTTACATGGGAGCTCCATGTTGCTCCCATAACCACCCACGCGGCCGCACTCTGCGCCAGTTGGAGCCTCCGGGTGCACCTCAAGGGGAGCCCCATGTAGAGAGCATTACAATAGTCCAGACGAGAGGTGATGAGGGCATGAGTGACTGTGCGTAACGAGTCCCGATCTAGAAAGGGACGCAACTGGCGAATCAGGCGAACCTGATGAAAAATCCTCCCAGTCACGGCCGTCAAGTGCTCTTCTAAAGACAGCTGTGAGTCCAAGAGGACGCCCAAGTTACGAGCCCTTTCCGTGGGGGCCAATGATTCGCCCCCAATAGCCAGCAATGGCGCCAGCTGACTATATCGGGACGTCAGAAACCACAGCCACTCGGTCTTGGATGGGTTGAGCCTGAGCCCGTTTCTCCCCATCCAGATCCGTACGGCCTCCAGGCACTGGGACATCACTTCAAGGGCATCGTTGGGGTGGTCCGGGGTGGAGATGTACAGCTGGGTGTCATCAGCGTACAGATGGTACTTCACCCCGAAACCACGGATGATCTCGCCCAGCGGCTTTACATAAATGTTGAACAGAAGGGGCGAGAGAACCGATCCCTGCGGCACCCCACATATAAGGGGCCTCGGGGTCGATCTCTGCCCCCCTGTCAACACAGACTGCGACCGGTCAGAGAGAAAGGAGGAGAACCACCGTAAAACGGTGCCTCCCACCCCCAACCCTTCCAGCCGGTGCAGCATGATACCATGGTCAATGGTATCAAAAGCCGCTGAGAGGTCTAACAGGACCAGGACAGAGGAACAACCCCTGTCCCGAGCCCTCCAGAGATCATCAACCAACGCGACCAATGCTGTTTCCGTGCTGTACCCAGGCCTGAAGCCCGACTGGAATGGATCTAGATACGATGCTTCATCCAGGTACTGGGGTAGCTGTCGCGCAACCACACTCTCAACAACCTTCGCAACGAAGCAAAGGTTGGAGACTGGACGATAATTAGCCAATACTGCCGGGTCCAGGGAAGGCTTCTTGAGGAGAGGCCTTACCACCGCCTCTTTCAAGGCGGCGGGAAAGACACCCTCACCCAACGAAGCATTTATAATCCCCTGGAGCCAGCCTCGCGTCACCTCCCGGGAAGCCAGCACTAACCAGGAGGGACACGGGTCCAACAAACATGTGGTCGCGTTCAATCTACCCAGAATCCTGTTCACGTCATCTGGGGTCACAGGATCAAACTCATCCCAGATAACAGTCTCAAGACCTGTCTCCGTCACCCTCGCTGGATCTATCCCGTCAGAGTCCAGACCTGCCCGAATCTGAGTGATTTTGTCATACAGATACTGAACAAAATCCTCGGCTCTTCCCTCCAAGGGGTCCTCCCGCGCTTCCTGGTGGAGCAGGGAGAGGGTCACCCTAAACAGGGTGGCCGGGCGATTATCTGATGATGCAATAAGAGCAGTAAAATGAGTACATTTTGCTGCTTTTATCGCCACTAGGTAACTCCTAATATGAGATCTTACCAGTGTTCGGTCA